GTTGTGAATTGGATAATAATTCATCACCCGCAAGGACGAAGAGACAATCTAGTCTCTATCAAGACAGGAGAAAGAATATCCAAAAGTTACATAAATCGCTTTAAAAAAAATGTTCACCCTGGATAAGGCCCAAGAGCTACTTGAGGTGAGATAGAAGTTTCATAATTCATCACCCACAAGGACACATAGACACTTTTAGACTCTATCAAGAGGGGAGAGAGAAGACTACTGCGTTAAAATAAAGTTCTATAGTAACTTAAGTTTCCTAAATATAAGGTTGTTATAAGAGTAATTTTTACACGTTTGAGGGTATATTTTTAATAATTACTGTAAAATAACCATTAAGTTTTACGTTCTAACGTTTATTTATTTCTTTGCTAATCATTTAATATCAGAGTTGATAAATTTTGTATTGATTTTACCCTTTCTAAATGTGTTTAGATCAGAACACTATGCCAAGGCTTCTTAACCAGAGGGTTATAGAATACATGTACAGTATTTTGTTTTGATTAATAACGAATTATTAAATAAATTAACGGAAGCATATTTGAATAAACAAAAACCCAATAGAATGCCAACGTGTTGTATTTCAATATAAAAATATTCTCTAAATAAAAAAAGAGAAAATATAAAACATTTTAGTCTTCATATTTTTGCTACACGGGTTTCCGGTCTCGTGACCTTCTTCAGACAAATTAAAAGAATCAACTTTTAAAGGAATAATTTTTCCTTATGTTTTTTTTTTAAAGTTTTATTGTTCATTTTCTGTATTTGTAGTGAGTCTTGATTTCATTTTTGGACTGTCGGCAAAAGCAAATTTATTTTTATATAAAACACTAATATTCCATGCTTATAATTTATTACAATGGAATCGTAAACACGATCCAATTCATCAGATCTACAAATTCAAAAAGCTTTTTTGAAATTGACCTACAATTTCAAAAAAGCTTTTGAATTTGTACATCTGATGAATTGGATCGAGATTACGATTACCAATGTAATAAAACTATTATCATGGGATATTAGTGTTTGAGCCTTTCATATTATATTCTTGCTCTGTCCTGGGCATTAAGCTCTCCTGGATTCTATCCTCTTGGAAATTTACAAATTTAATGACCACTAATATTATATATATATATATATATATATATATATATATATATATAAAAGAAAAACAGACCACTTTAAGGTACCATTATGATAATTTATTTCACGAGAGCCCTCTTAAAGGATGCCGGATCATCAGATAGCACTTCCAAAAATGAAACGAAACGAAAAATGAAATGAAAATTGATGGGTAGTGTAAGTTTTTGTAATTTACCAGAGAGTGTGAAAGGAGTAGTTAAAGAGACATGGTAGAGTTTGGGGAGGGATTAATTTCATATCTCTCTCAATCATACTTAGTATTGGGGAGGAGGAGGACCAGACCTTATATATATAAAACCAATGACTTTATTTTTACTACATCAAACCTCATTTTTAGTAGATATCCGTGTCTGAAGTAAATATTTTCACCCGTTCATATAGTTTAAAAGTCAAAGTCACATGTATTAGTTCATATCAAAGCCTTTATATATATATATATATATATATATATATATATATATATATATATATATATATATATATATATATCATATTGAAAAATGCATTTTATAACATCTAATTTTGCTTGTAATGTTATGCATTTTGATGATAGTATTATTTACAAAAAAAAAAAAAAAAAATTTACCGAGTTGTCCGTAACTGTTGTCGCTACCAAACAGGGAAATGTAGGTCCAGTTGAAATACTCCATGATATCCACCATCGCTTTCACTTGGTAAGTGTCACTTGGAATTGTCCTAAGGAAAGAAAAACAAACCAAATTATAGTTACAACTAGAAAGTCTTTTATGTGCCGTGGAACTTCACAATGTTGGCGATCATAGCTTTCCACATCTTCCTCCGCTTTGAAACCCTTAGTAAAGTTTGCCTTCTTGCTATATCTCCTAAACCTTTTTCTGCCAACCATTTACAACTGTTCGTTAGGTAGGTTATACGACGCTTTCATCAGTCTCTCTGCGCTTCTATATGTTCTGTGTCTAATGTTTCAAACTGGTGTAATAGAATAAACTGTCACCCCCATGTGTGACTAGACTATAGGTAGTAACTACCTATAAGTATATGTTTTTCGGCTACACAGTCGAACTTTCTACCTTACGGCAGAGAGAAACCCGGACGAAACTCCGTCGAAGGGCAGAGTCTCTTTCGGGGAGGTAGACTGATCCTGAACCCGTTTATACGGGTTCGAAAGGTAATATTTTTGGCAGAGCCTACAGGCTTGGAAGACCCATGTTAAACTCGGCTTTGTGCCACATCTACCCTTTTAGTGGGGCTAGTAGATATTGACTAGCCGAAATCTTTTTCGGCTTGCTGGTCGAACACTCTGCCGAAGGGCAAAGTTTCGTCTGAGGTGCTAGACAGCTACCCGACCCCGTTTTTTACGGGGTCCACGAGGAATTTTTGAGCGAGCCTACAGGCTCGCATACCCCACGTTAAATTCGGCCTTGTGCCACATTTGACCGTGTGGGGACGTTGTCAAATATCCTAGGTGGGAGCTTTTTTCTGCTGTGCTGGTCGAACTCTCTGCCTTCGGACAGAGAGGAACCCGGACGAGGCTATGCCGAAGGGCAGAGTCTCGTTCGGGGAGGTAGACAGACCCGATTTCATTCATGCGGGTTCTACGGGGATTTTTTTCGCTGAGCCTACAGGCTCGGGAACCTCACATTAAATTCGGCCCTGTGCCACATGTGACTGCGTGGGGTAATTGTTAGATACTATAGCTGGGATCTTTTCCAGCTGTGATGTCAAACTCTCTGCCTCTGAGCAGAGAGGATCCCCAGATGAGGCTATGTCGAAGGACAGAGTCTCATCTTGGGAAACACCTACCCGATCCCGTTATATATGGGATATACGGGGAATTTTTGGCCGAGCCTACGGGCTCAGATTTCCCCACATTAAAGTCGTAATTGTGCCACATCTGATCGCCTGAGGAGGTTAGTAAAGCTGGGATTTGTTGAGTACGACTCAGATTTAAACGAGTAATTACCAACCTTCCAATGCTAGCACTCACTACTGAATTGACTTGCGACGACCTTGTACATAACTGTTACCTTTATTCTTATTGTATTGGTTTTTACAATAAAACATTTGCTTATTTTATCCACCATGTTTTTCAAGTATATATTCCTAATAGCACGAAATATAACACAAACCAACTTTCTGGTGCTATGTATAGGTGTCCATTTTGTTTTCCTTTTCTCAAAAACTTCGTCGTTACTCATGTTTTCAGTCAATGGTATCCTCAGCATCATTCTGTTGAACAAATTTTCTTTTACCTCAGATCTCTTCTTTCCCTATGGTGAGAATGCCAAGTATTCACTGAACAGATATTATGTAACATTTCACTACTCTTTCTTTCTAACGACATTTTCCTGTGTCTTAATACTTTGCTTATCTTTTTGCAAAGTAACTTTTGGTATCCTAACGCGCTTTACGATTTCAGTATCGCATTTTTCTAGCCGCTGTTAAAATAATTATCATATATTTAATTTTTCACACCTGTTTAATTTTGGTTTCTTCAATTAGTAATTCGCATGTTGGGCTGATGACACCCATATATCCTGTTTTCTTAGAATTGATGCTTAGTCCTTTCTTCTTGCTTTCCTTCACTACCTTCTGTAGGAGTTCTTGTAGTTTCCTTTTTGTGTCTGCTATCAACAGTGTCATCTGCATATCTTATTATGTTAATATTGTGTCGAGCAAAAACATATCCTGGAAGAACTCCTAAGTTAAACAGGATTGCTGCATTGTTAAGATTGGTCCAGCAATAAAGAAACTGAACTTAAAAAATTAGATCAAGACGAGATGCACCTAGACATGGACAATCGAAGAATTGTAATCTCCTCCTTGCAGATTAAATAATGGTTAAATTTTGTGACGGTTAACCAGATCGGTAATGACTAGAAGAAGACCGGAGTGTACAACAGCCGGAAGTTTTTGATAATAAGACCAAAGATAAGGGTAATGGTAATGATAATATTAAAAGTTTCCTTATAAGGAAAAATCCAACATTCTCTGACCGAGCAGCCGGATGAAATTTATAAAATATTTCTATTAAAACAATTTTTCAGAAAAATATACAGGTTTCCTTCCTAACCTATGTTTGATTACGTCGTCATTTCATCTCCGGCTTTCATATGCGATCCATTTTAGGGGTCGCTGCTGTGTAAAGTCTGTAAATAATGTTACTAATTATAACTTCACGTTCCAAAAGTTCTGATAGAAACATTTTTATTTATAAAGGGTGTTTCATTAAGACGGATCAAAGTCAGCAGTAAGTAAATCAGTGTTATTTGTGAACATTTATTTATTTCTCTAGCGGATCATGTTATTTAAGTCATGGTCATTATGTGATGTGTGAAAATAATATAGCTCAAATATCCGCCAAATGTGAAAGAAAAAGAAAAAAAAAATCATTAGACGCTTAAACTTAATTCACATTTAAAATCGATCCAAGTTATTGGAACTCCCTTTATTTCTTCCAGATTAGGTTTTCATTTTTTATCTCCTTTTTTTTTTTTTTTTTTGACTGCCCTTTGTCGTAACACTTTGCGGCATGGATCAGGAAATCAATTAACCTCCGATGAGATTCGATCCTGCATCTTCTGTGCTTCATAATTCTATCGGCGGTTTGCGACAAAGGAAGTATAAACTTGGGAATAAAAGATCAATACTAACCTGAAGAACGATGTGTATTCGGATCTGTCACTGAGAATTCTGCTCGTAGCCGAATAACTGATCTGTGCAAGTCCGACAGCGCTGAAAATATGTGCCGTCGAAATGGCAGAGTCCGAACTTGCTGGCCCTACCACAGCAATCACAGACTGTTCGGTCATTCTGTCACTGTCATCGTCTGGCACTTGACTAACCGGTGTCCTCGTCTCGTTTGCTGATCGCATAAACTGGGTGTCATTGGTTGGTGCATACAGAAAAGGCCTTTCTGGTGTTGAAACTAAATCCAGAGCTATTTCCGTGGCTCGAAACATCTGTTAAAGAAATTGAAAATAAGTTAACTTTTGCCATATTTAGAAGTTATAATTGGAAGGGTGAATCATAATAAAACAAAAGGGTGACCCATAAAACGTTTTTTTATGAGAAGGCTTGTAATGGTACAGACCTTCGAATGGATTAGAGCAGAGGTCTGCAACCGTGGCACGTCAAATAATTTACAATGACACACAGCCGCAAATGATATCACGAGGTCCGGACCAATAATTACTAGAACGCCAAGAAGATATACATCTGTTTCAATTTTAATATATACTAAATTATATTATATATTACTATATAAAATATATTGTACAATAGGTATATTGACCTTGACTTGTATAAAAATACGTATTCTGTTAGCAATTTGAATGATTTTAAAACTCTAAGTCGGCATATAGTTAGCAAAATGTTGCCGACCCCTGGATTAGGGGATTTTTTGAAATAACCTCACTTGTGACTCTTATCATCATATAGCGTGTTGAACAGTTTGAACAAAACCAGGACACTCACACCATCGTTCACGATGACTTGTGACTTTATGCCTGGTCAACCATCGAACAGTTCCGTCTATCCAATTTCAGTCACAAATCTTGGGTCAAGCCGGGATATGAATTTCTGGAACTTTCCAAAGGTGTTGCACGCAGGAATCGCTTTCCTAGGCCGATAAAATCAAGAAGTTACCTGTCTGACAAATCGATGCTGAGATTGGGAACAAGGTCTCATGGTCCGAATCCACTGGTCCAGTCCTATCTATCTATCTATGATTTGATTTGGGTTTTTTTTTTTAAGTCTCATTAACATATTCTGAGTTATTTAAAGAGGAAACCAATTTTGGATTTTAAGAATAATTCTTTTTTTTTAGAATAAAAATGATCTTTCCAGATACATCCACTACTTTTTAACCCATAGCTTAAGAGAAGTTTTCAGACCTTCCTTAGGATTATTTGCGCGTCAGTGAATATAAGAGACCCTAATGGAATTCGAACATTGTTCGCCGATTTCTCATTCCTAGCCGATATCCAGTACACCACGTGCACATTTCTCATAAACAGATTACACGAAATAAAATGCGATTATTTTCAGATATACTCAAAGAATTTCTTTATATTCCTCTGCCACTGTTTATATCCATTTAATTTATCAATACAGTAGAATCCCTGACTAAGAATGCTTTCCAGATATGACCATTTGGTTACAAAGTCCGGATATGAGGGGTTATATTTAGATTAAAATAAAACAACTTAAATCAGGTTTAGCATTTACTTTCAATGTTTTATATTAAACAAAATCAGCTTATGGTGAGTGAAATATAGCAGAACTGATTTAAATGAAAAGGAAATAAATATATGTAATATTAATTAAAATTCATTAAATTAAATATGCCATGTATGCAAAACTAATAACGTAACGAGGAATTTTTAATTGCTGTTACATGATGATTTTTTCTCTTCTAATGTCATTCTCAACTTTTACCGCATTTCATTTTGCTTTTGTTTTTGAAATTTTTTAAACGAACGATACTTTTTAACTCTGCGTGCATTATTGCAATCGTTATAGCTGAATGCTGGATTTCTTTCCATAAAACTGACAAACCTTTTCAATAGCTTTTTCAATTTCAGTCCAGGTTTCATCACAATCATGCATCTCCTCGCTATCTTGTTGCAGATGTGTCTCGTTGTCATTCTTTCCTCTTATTCTCATCATCTTTTGCACCAATACAAGCCATTAGCGTGAAATAAGCATAAGCAATTATCTGAAGTAAATTTCCCGAAATCAGTTACATATCACCCAAATAGTTCAAATATGCACATCTAAATCACGCCTGCATATGAGGGATTCCGGATATTAGGGATTCTACTGTAATAAAAAAAAGAATCAGGAACTTTCTGAAATGAACTCATAATGATGAAATCTTTCGAAATACCCAGAAGAATAAATTAGCTCAAATATTTGTGTTATAAAAAATAATTCATTATTGCGTAATAAGGTGTGGTACTGTTATGGTAATTTACCCACGCACGCATGGACTCTCCCAGCTATAAATAGGAGCAGGGTACTGCCTTTTTTTGAGGGGGGGAGTTCCAGCAGTCAGCTCTGACAGTCGGACCGAACATTCATGCTGTAACACTCTCGTTTGTATATGTTTGTATTACTGTTTCTCTTAATATATTTGTTTAACTCAATTTCCCACTTTGTGTCTTTATTTCTGTCCCTGACAAGGCCACAATAGATACTTTGTTATAATTTAAGATGCTAGTGTTATATTAGGGAGGCAACAACTATTTATACTGTAACAAGTAAAAACAGAAAACAAAGAATCAAATTCACTTACTTTGTCGCAGTCATCACGAATATCATATCCAAGCGTTATATTCGGTAAAAGCTCACTGCGCGAAATTGATTCCGTTACATAAATCATTGATTCAACCCAGGCAAGACCTGTAGAAAGAAAAGGAAATATTTTTAGACTTATCAACTGTTTGTAGGTTTTTAAAGCCAGAAAATATTTTAAAATTGTTAAACCTTTTTAGAGATAATAATAATTTACTGATTTCTAACTTTTTATGTGCCGTCTCCCTTCAGGACGTAGGCGATCATGGCTCTCCACTTCCTCCTATCCCTTGTAGCTCTCAATAACTTTTGTCACCTTGCTACTCTCCATCCAGGCCATGCTCTGTCATCTACTTGCTTAAGCCCGCTAGATATGTCATGCGTTGCTTTCCCTTGTCTCACTTTGTCTCTCTTCGACCTGTGAGTATTAGATTCTTCAGGCCCTCTTTTCTCATTACGTGTACCAGACATTTTAGCTGCCTCTCCCTGATAAGTTTCCTCTTCGCATCCTCTCTTAAATCCCATGTTCGGTCCACGGTATCCTTAGCATTTTTCTGTAGAGCCACACCTCTGTTGCCTGGTGTCTCTTCTTCAACTTTCAGGAGACTGTCCAACATTCGCTGCCGTAAAGGAGGACAGATATCACGTGCTAGTTCAATACACTTTTCTTCGTTACCAACGAAACCCTCCTGTCTCGTAATACTCTGCCTAGCTTTTGGAATGCGTCTTTGGCCATCCAAATATGTCTTCGGATCTCAGCGTCTCATTTACCGTCCTCTGTTACTAGTTCTAATAATTAACCCATAGCTGGGACAGTGGAGAAGAGGTAGATTCATAGCTGAATATAACAAACCCATTTGAATTAGAACATGGCTTTCCGATTTTCAATTCTGATCCTTTATACATTACACCACCTGCACATCCAAGCTTACAGCAATTGGCATTCATCAATCTAGGTATTGACCGGTTTTAAAAGTTGTATAATTTCAGTATTCAACCGAGAACCAGTGCTTCAACGTGATACGGCCGTTGACATTTTTGGACGATTTTGGAAGTTAAAAGAATGGCATTATATGAAAAATATAGAGTTGTTTTCGAAATTTAGGTTTCTCAAGATTTTGCATTTCTGTAGGCATTGGCATGAGTAGAACATACCAAGATTTCATTGAATACGAATTATTCAAATATTTATAAAATTTAAGTATTTTTCCTACTTATTTATAAATTATTTATGGAATTTGACGTTAATAGTAAAAATTTGCGGAATGGTTAAAAATACACTAAACCTTTAAAAATTAGCCATATTTTCTATAAATTTCGGGAAGGCAGTTTTCTCTCCGAATAATCTGTTTATCTAAATGACTACAAATTTATATAGGAAGATTATATTACATTTAGTCCTGAAGATACTTATCACATGCCTGAAGTCCTTGAACCTTATATTGATCCGAACGCATTGGCTGCTGCTCTGGATTTTTAAATGAACATGAAGATGAGGATTTTCAAGGTTAAGCCTCGTAATCGTTTATATAAATGATGGGTTTGGTTTTTACGGTTTATCAACCCTCTGTGGGTTAGTTAAAGCCGAAACATATTTTGAATTGCAAGTGAATAACAATTTTTGAGAATAATGATTTTCCAGTAACAGTACCATTATTTAACCCATAGCTTGGTGGGCGGAGATGGATTCATATTTTTTCCCGTGGAATTTGCACCTAAATGAGTGTAACGAACACGACTGTAATTCGAACTTTGCTCTCCGATTTCTCACTCTGAGATTCTTTTCATTACACCACCTGCACATCTAGCTACAAATGAAGTAAGGGACACAAATCAAAGTTAGAAAGGAATCATTCTTACCGATATCATTAAATCTTGCGCAAGATGTCGATACTGATGTCTCTTTATAGAGGTCAATGTGAACGGGGAATATTCCACCAATGATATAATCCCCTGCTTTATAGGCTCGTCGCTGGGGTTGACGGATTTTCGGGGAATGCATTAGTTTGGGTTTTTCTCCTATGGTTTTGTAGAATGACATGGAACAACCGATAATCAACCAGTTAATAAACAAGTTCATTTTGGAGACATTTATTCCGAATTTTAGGTGTTTTTTTTTGTTTTTTTTTACGAATTGTCTTGTTGTTTCTCTCTGAAAAAAAAAGAAACTTAGAAGAGACAAAAAGATCGTTTCATTTAAAATTGTAGACTTTATCCAATTTTTCAACAATCGTTTGGAGATATAAGATAAAAAATGGATAAAATGTCGACTGTATCAAAGAATATTATTATTATTATTATTATAAATATACATAACATGAAATAAAATTATTTGATAAGAAATTGAACAAGAATAAGTGATAAGTGATTTTTGCGTTTGTATTATTATTATTATTATTATTATTATTTATTATTATTATTTTCTTTGATTTATGGCGTTTACACATTTCTTTCCGGGTCCCGTCCAGGGACCTAAAGTTAGAAATGGCATCATGACACTTTCCACTGACAAAAAAAATAAAAAAAAAATCCATAGATAAAGCCCTTCGTAAAGTGTGGGCTGTACTTGTCAGAATAA